AATATTTGGCCCAATCTTCCTGAGTCTTTAAACACACTCAGTAGGGACGGAGGTGTGACTAACCAAACTGGCTACTGCTATAATTATACACTTCAATACAGCAGTGATCCCCACTATGATTTCATGGTATCAGTATAAGGGGACCGTCCCTGAGAGAGGGGGGGGAGGGGGTTAAATTAAGATAGTTAGCGTATAGTATAGGTACATGGATGAGGAAACTACCAAACGAGTATTAACCGCCTGCTATGGCTCGTTGTCTTGCAGCCGGCGTGCGAGCCCCTCAGCACCCGGAGAGGTATGTCGCTAATGAGCGCCCAGGTACACCTATGTGGACTTTTGCTTGCGGCAATCGTGCATAAGGCATTTAATTATGACGTTAAGCATAGATATGAGTTCGTGAATGTTCAAGGAACACTTTTATACCAATATCAGGAAAAAATTATATCACCGTGATTTATGACGAAATATTTTGTGAAATATATCTAAAAAAAATGTATGTTTTGTGTCCTTTTACACACGAAATATGCTTTGATCGAGACTCCCTGGTAATATGTTTTAGTTTACGTGGTAATATATACGTATATCACATACGAAGCACTAATGTTCAAAAATAGCCTTATAAGGAAGGATTGAAATATTTCCGTTACATTTCGCTCAACGGTCGGTACATCACAGCAGGGGGCAATTTGAATTGATTTGAAATTGGTAGTTACCGTTGTAAAGACCAATTCAATACGATATACCTAAATGTCGGATTTTTAAACTTCGGATGTATAAGCGATATACAGATTATTTCATGTTGAAGATGATAGTACTCAGTAATACCTGCTCTGAAATAAAAACTATATGGAATTTTGAGCTCGGTTGTACGCATAGTCTTCGTCTGGCGTTCAAAAAGCTATTGCATCCGTTTCATGCATTCCCGATAAAAATTAATATGTTTAGACGTTACCGTAAGTCTTAGGCACCATAAATTGGCAAATATCCCACAACACCTAGGCGTCTGCATGATTTTATGCACTTCTTAGTAAAGATAATGGATGCAAATGGCTAATTATAAACTTTACACTTGTTCTCCTTTGCAATCTGTTAATATTGACAATTATCAAAGAAAATGGTATGAGAGGGATAACTAATATATTTCATTACTTAGATATGAAAGTCAATATAGGCCTACTAAATTATGATGATTAATCTTTTTAACTTTATGTGCGTGCGTTTATGTACATATGATCCTCCTCGAAAATTATAAACACCCAGTGACCATCCAAATACAAAACGCAGTAGCTCCGTCATTTTTTTATGAATCTTCGGTACATCCCAACTCACGTAATTTTCATGCGATCCAAATGCAGTTTGTTGCTTTCACTAGAGCCTCGGCGTCCCATGGCCATGTAAAAGGCCGATTTTTGAATCTTTGCCTTTATCAAAAAATAATAATATTTTAATGCTGAAAAATAAATAAAAAAGTATTTTTTATGTCATGCTGTCCCCCGCCAAAAAAAAAAGGAAATTCAAAATTCGGCCTTTTACATGGCTATAGGCTATAGTTGATCTAACACTAGTATTTTGGGGGGAATATTCTGTAAATGTACCGAAAACATACCAAAAAAAAAAAAAAAAAAAAAAAAAAAAAAAAAAAAAAAAAAAAAAACAGCGATTTTTTTTCTACTTTTTGCCCAATGGGGGAGCAAAGTTAAAATTTATATATATAACGGAGCGCAATTCTTTACTCTATAGCATGCAAAAAGAATCAATCAGTTATCTCTAACCGATATTTTTTTATGATGTATAGAGTAGGGAAAGGTGGCCATTTTCCGGGACGGTCCCCTTAACACACTAGTGCCAGTCCATTTGGAAGGCAATAATCCCCATTTTGGGGCAGTATCAAAATCGGCAAGCGGGCCAATCCCAGAACCTGCCCGTGCGCCGTGGACGACAAAATCAGAGCGCAAGCTCCAATCTAGCGTCGCATGGGTGGGACAGCCAGCCATGTTTATTTTTCCAGGCATCACCTATCTGTGACACCCGGCGCAAGTGGGTTAATAATAATTACCAGTCACATTATCTAGTCTTTCACATGAGGTAATTTTGTAGTAGTAAATTCACATACATTGTGCAGTTAACATTTGGTGAACAAATGGCTGTGACCCTAATCCTATGACTCTCCTAGCAGATGCCTCCCCAAAAAGCCTCCTACCTGAGCTACCTTATATAAACCATCACACAGAACGGTGTACTGAGTAGGAGAGAGAGGGGGTTCAAAAACTGTGAGATTGTGAGAGTACATATGACACATCTTCAATTCGAGAATTAACATATTCAAGATACTTACTTGCAAGTAATACTGTGATCCCCGGACATCAATTGTAGACAGATGACCTTGCTTCAGCTGGGAGACAGTGTACTGAACAGCAGTGTGTGGCAATACATACACATCTACTGGGTCAAGGAGAAGATTGGCTACAACCATCAAGTCGACTGAAGCAGGGGCTAAATC